GGAACACACAGAATGTGTGTTGGCTTCTCAGTAGTGGATCACTGTTTCCCCCGTTTCAGCAGGGCCCATGCAAGAAACCTCTTCCTCTGTACATGCAACAGAGCCAGCCAAGTTGTAGATGAAGGTATATGCTACGTACTACTGCTCCTAACAACTCAAAAACATCTTTTTCCTCTGTAGCACAGGCTAAAAGCTGATCTTAAGTAGCGTGGGTAGGAGCCAACTGGCAGTGTGCAGAAGGGATCAGTGAAGCAACCCAGGTATTACAAGCACATTCAGACAGCTTTGAAGATCCAACTGCTACAACAATACAACTTAATATAACAACTCACCAATAGCATGTTCTTTGCATACTGCAAGTGTGAAGTAAAGCATGGTGGCTTAAACTGGTGCTAAAAATTACTAGCAACTTTAGGTGAAGGGTACGATGAACATGTGTGCTTACAGGAATAATAATCCAGAAGTGCTCACATGCATTTTCATATATTCCTGAAAGACTTGGAACTTGTTCTCCACAAAATAAATATTTGACAATGAGAAATTAATTACAGCTAGATTAAGTCTGTCCAGCAAGACCGCTCTTTCATATCTCAAGGTGTCCCAGCTGAGATAACAAGAAAGGAATATGATGCAAAGAGGCCTTGGTATTTCCTAGCAAGACCTTCCCTGGATCAGGCAGTCATCCAGATACAGGCACATATGATTTAGATGTGTAATTTCAACTACAAAGAATTTATTAAGAACTTTATTACCACAAAGACTCTCAATAATAGTTACTGGTAATGATTTGACCCCACTGTTTAATTTCTTGAGAGCCAGGCAGACTGTGAGTGCTGAAAAGCAATGGTCAATCAAGACACATTAGGTCTGAGCTTAGAGAGATACAAAGGTAGAAATTAAACACTGGGCCACTGATGAAGACCACTTTTTTCTTTGAAATTAAAAAGGCTATCGAGGTTCCCCCATATTCTCTGACAACATCTTTGGTGCCTTACAAGAAGCATCAAGGACATTTTTATATCAGACTCTTGTGAG